GCGGGAGGAAAACTTTGGAGGATTGGAAGGGTCGGGGGGAGCGTCATCTCCCTCTGCCATGTTTGTTCGTACTGGCGCACTCTTGTATTCTCCATTTCCAGCCTCTGGTCGTCACTCTGCGTGATTTGGACCAAGATGGGCTACGTCCTCGTGCGGCTTTGGGCGGAAAAATCGAGGTCGCGTTCCTCCTCTACACCAGCATCACTCCGTGCAGACAACTTCCTCGAACAGCTACATGGTGTCGAAGCCGAGGCGGTTGAATCCTCACTGAATTCTCGAAGAGGGTGCTTCGATTTGATTCCCATATTATGACTGCACTATGTCGGCCATGTAAACTCGGATGGCGGAATTGGGATCTGGAGGGGCAAAGGAGTGCGAAGGAGGGTCGAAATCATACAATTATGGTAGGTTTATGTGGGGGGTTTCGCATAGTGCTTCAACGAGTTCTGGTTTACACCGACGTATTGGTTGTGTACGAACAGTTGTGTGTTTCCAGAGTGGTGGCCTGTGAATAGGCCTTGAGCAGGACTTGATCATCTCGCACTTCTGTGGGTAGCAATTTGACATTGTAAGAAGTCACAGAATTTTCTGTTTGTGGTGCAACTCAAGGCCTTTTTGGACGAGGAGGACTTGAGGAGGACGAGTGGCGTATTGATGTTCAACGTTCAACGTTCAAGTTTGCCTTGTTGATTGAGTTGTTTAGAACGTTCCGCGATGAGCGAGCACGAGGAACAAGTGACAAAGCTCATTATCGGATAAGATAACGTTAGAGCGTCAGAACGAAATCTCGCGTTTGTACTCATAAGTACAAACAATCATACATGTCTCCGAAGGTCTGAGAAGGAGAACTGCATTCTCCTTCCTGCCCAGTTTAATTGTTCTGACGCGTAAAAAGGTCTTCTTATTCATCAGCTAATTTTTTGAACTTTGGCAACTTCTTTCGGACCTTTACAATGGTCGACATCCCTCTCACCGTGGTTACTAGCACTGAAAGCTCTCAAACTGAGGCTACACCTAGCTCTCAAACTGCGGCTACCACTAGTGGCTACCACTAGTTATCATATAAAACAGGTAACTGCCTATAGGTCCCTGTGTATCCATCCACACTCTTTATGATAGGCAATCATTACTGTTACCATGTTTTTTCATTATCATAAAGGCTGCGCTTTTTCATTAAGTGTAGGCAAGGTTTTGGGCCTCCCTCATAAGGTAGCCTGTGGTTATCATTACCAATTTCATATCTTTTCAAAGCCATATCATTGCGATTTTCATTAGTTGTCTGGCGAGTATCATTGGATATTTCATTAGCTACATGGGTGATATCATTTTGCGATTTTCAATGGTTACTTTGGCAATATCATTGGAAATTTCATATGCTACTTGGGCAATATCATTGTGATTTTCATAAATTATGTGGCCAGTATCATTGGAAATTTCATTAGCTGGTTGTGCAATATCATTGGCAATTTCATTAGCTACTTGGGCGACATCATTGTGATTTTCATTAGCTACTTGGGCAATATCATTGCGATTTTCATAAATTATGTGGCCAGTATCATTGGAAATTTCATTAGCTGGTTGTGCAATATCATTGGCAATTTCATTAGCTACTTGGGTGACATCATTGTGATTTTCATTAGCTACTTGGGCAATATCATTGTGATTTTCATTAGCTCCTTTGGCAATATCATTGGAAATTTTATTAGTTACTTGGGCAATATCATTGTGATTTTCATTAGCTACTTGGGCAATATCATTGTGATTTTCATTAGCTCCTTTGGCAATATCATTGGAAATGTTATTAGTTACTTGGGCAATATCATTGGCAATTTCATTAGCTACTTGGGCGACAT